CTGTCTTTCCTACAGAAAGGAAGAATTATCTTTAAGAGCAACCTCGGTGTCTCCAGAACTGTATGAGCTGTGGCTCCGCCCTGCATAAAAATAATCCTTGACATGTTCGACTCCTGTTTAATCTCAAATTTTGGCCTGCTCACACGACTTTTTTCCAATCTTTTAAATAATTTTTGCTCTAGGACCTCCCTTCTACGATATCCACCATTCACTCATTAACCCTGTGACCAAAGTTGGACGTCAGAGAGCCCTCCAAAGGACATTGCTTCCCATACCATGACTGGGGGGCTAAATTTTAGAACTTAACCATTCCACACGATGTTACGGCGTCCAGCCCAAATAACATCGTTTGTGTGTCTGACAATTTATCAGAGAAGACGGCTTGTTTCCAACCGTTTACAGCCCATCTCCAGACCAACTTACAGAAAATCATCCTATCTTTGGTTTTTTTTCTTAGTCTAGTAATTTTTCATCTGTGATAGGCGGTTACAACAAAACGTTAATGCAAACACTGATGCAAATTGGATTTGGAATCCTTCAGGCTTTTAGCATTCGGTTTCGTTGCGAGTTTCTTTGCGTTTTGCCTGGGTTAATCAATGAATTTTGCAATAACGACCTCTCCAATTCTGTCCAGAATGTTTGGTCTTCCAGTGTTCTGCTTTGTGACGGTACCTGTTTATTTTTACTGTGACCACCAGTACTTGCTCGTTCTGATAGATACACCTACAGCTTTAGCAATCTCCACTCGTTTCATCTCGGCCTCTATCTCACCCATATGTCGACCTCTGTCTTCTGAGTTTCGCGCCATCAGGATCCCAAACACTGTTTTGTACAGAATTAGAGCTTTCTGTTATGTGTACTGCTGTACTGTTCAGTAATTATTGCATACAAAGTTTATTTACAAATAAATCGCCAATCAATGGGGTTGAGGAATTTATAAACATCAGTGCTGGATATTTGATTGTAAAAAATGTATGACACCCCATAATTTTATAAGGCATTGTCTATTACCCTAAATATACTGAACTATAAGCTACTGACAAGCATAGAGCATACGTCCAGCGAGAATACGTGATGCACAGTGTTACGTAAATCTTTCTTTTTTAAATGCACAGTTTTAGGCCCTTTCATTCAGAAGTCTGGAAGACGTCGATGCTGATCTCATATGAGTCATTTATTTGAAACAAATTCGAAATGCGGCTTAAGATTGTAATTAAGTTACAATAAAATGTACAGGAAGGTGCATATCTTTGTCAGGTAATGCCAGTAGCGTGAGTATTCCAGGTGGAGACCTCATTCCAGCAGGATGAAATTCCCGCAGGTCGACCGTCACCCATAAGTTTTTCACAGGCGACTTGCAGCTTAAGTGGAGGCATTTGTGGAGGTGTGGATTCTAAGTCTTCGCCTTTGGGTTGAGCGTCATTCTTAAAACTTTCCGGTGGTTCTATTAGGCAAGTATTAAGACTCTCGTTGGAACGATTTGCCTCTTCTGTTGGACCATTAACAGTTTTTGATTTCGTTTTTGTCGGAGCCTCAGAGGAGGGTAGATGCAATTTTACTTTTGCATCTTGGGTGGGTAACCCAGGGTAGTTGGTGGAATTATCGAAGCCAATCCACTGTTGAGCCGGGAAAGGATTTTCGGCTGACAAACTCATCATCATACACTGTTCCATTTTCGGATGTACTGGTGGTGATTTCTTTGGACAACTGGGGTTTTTTGGCGGACGAACCGTGTTTAGCGATGCCAGTGGTGACGAAGAGGGAT